AAGACTTTCCACAAATGAGATGTAAACCTGCTTTCAATTAAGACAATGCCTGTGCTGCTACAAAGCATCCCTCGTGTACCAAGTTTCTGTTCCACCTTTTCTTTCCTTGTTAGCAGCGATCAGATGATTCATTCTAACATCCATGCTGCTCCACAGAACCTCTCCCTACATGGGGAAATGCTCTTGACAGTAGCTTTAACATTACAAAGATTACGGACTCAAAACATCTCCTAGAAAAGCTGGACTGCAAGGGCTGGCTGGTAATGGAGCACTGAGCCCTTTAATTAACTAAAGGATTGCCAATAGTTGGCAAGGTCTTCTTGGACAACATGTGGTCCTCAGCAAATTTCTATAAATCTTGGGTTTCTCAGAATTGTACAAGAACAGAGCAAGTAGAGGAACTCGCAAGACAGGATGAGTATAAATTAAAGAGGGGTGAAAGTAGTGGCTTCCAGGGGTTTGGAATTCAACCTTTCAGCTCAGCCAACTGGTCAGTGGTAGAAAAATGTGAAGTTCCAGTGCAAGCTCTTCATTCTCCACACCGTATCCTCAACATTTCCTGGAATGGTCATGTAAGCACATATTGCGCATCGCATGGCCATCCCAAAACACATCCGAAAAGATGGATGTAAGGAATAAGACTCCAAACTGAATCAGAAATCGGTTTGCTAACACATGCAATATGGCATTTTGGAGAAGAACAAAGGCAGGAGGTTCCTTCTCGACAAGATAAAAGCCTGATCTTTTGGTGCATGGGTTTGTTTTGGACAAACCAAGAGGCAAAGAAGAAAAGTGGTCCTAAGCTGCAGGACTTGGTCATTTTCCTGCTCAATTCGTGCATTTTTTTTCTTTTCTTCAAACGTTGCACACACAGAGGTCAACGTAAGATTGCTGTTGAATGTGCGTGAGAGAGTGCATATGCACCCTTGAATCACTGTCCACTCCTGATAATTATGTCTGGACAAGTCCCTGCAGTATTCCGGGCAAAATTTTGCAGAGTGCTTTCCTATTGCCTCTACCTCCCTGGAGCTGAAAGAGAAGGTCTGGCCCAAGGTCACCCAGCTAATTTTGTGTCTAAAGTAAGAGTAGAATTCATGGTATCTACCTCTACAACAAACTGACTCTCTGTTTGAACAGTATTCTAAGCCAGCTGGAGAATTTGAGCTATACCACAAAACTGTCCAGCCTGTGTGGATCTGTATAATCCGAGTTGGTTCTTTTATTAGAAATGATAGCATAATCTTCTTCATAGAACATAGGGCTGCAGGAGACCTTTGAGGTCTTCTAGTCCACCCCCCTGCTCAAGATAGGAGATCTTATACCATCCCGGTTAAATGGTTCTCCGGTCTACTTTGGAAAACCTCCAGTGATGGAGCACCCACAGGAGACAAGCTATTCCATTGATCAATTGTTCTCATTGTCAGAAAATTCTCCCTTAGTTCTAAGTTGGATCTCTCTTTAACAAGGTTCCACCCATTATTCTTGTCCTGCCCTTGAGTGCTGTGGAAAATAAGCCAATCCCTTCTTCTCAAGTACTCCAAGACAGCTATCATCTTCCCCTAATCCTTTTTTTTTTTGATAGCCTAAGCATGCCTTAGGGCAGTGATGGCTAACCTTTTCCACTTCGCATGCCAAAAGTGTGTGCGCACGCACGCATGCACGTGCCTGCACCCATGATGCAATGCACACACCCCTGCCCCCCCCGCGCATGCACCGTATACCTCTGCGCATGTCCATGCAACCATCCCTGCACCGTGCGCCTCAGCGCATGCATGCATGGACACCCCCCCGCACATCCCGCTCCCACGGGCATCTCCCCTACGCGCGTCTCCCTGCATGTGCAGCAGACACCCAACAATCAGCTAGCTGGCAGGGAGCACGCACACATGCGCAGTGGGGCTCTTCCGGGCGACCTCTCGCACGCCAGCAGAAATGGCTCTGCGTGCCTCTTCCGGCATGCGTGCCATAGGTTTGTCATCACGGCCTTAGGGGTTAGATTTCAAGGCTCCAAGAAAGTCTTGGCCCATTTTCTATCCTCATCATAAAATGCTGGATGTGGGGGGGAGAGCTCCTGTTTCATTTTAAGCCAGGCGGTCAAAAGATTAAATTTTCCTAACTCTTAATGCTAACAAGGCTTTCATTTACAAACAACTCCCCCTCTCCATCTGGGTCCCTTCAAAAAACTCATCCACAGGACAGGAACAGAATTCTCTCTGGCAGCAGGGCCTGAAATCTGTTTGTGGGAAGGAGGAGTGGAGGGATAGGGAGAATGCAGGACACGACCTGCCCCCCGAATGCATCGAGAAATTGCCCACCCAACTAATACATCAACTCCCGGGGGTCCAAAAGTAAGAAAAAGCACAATTGTGCAAGAGGAAAAAATCTGGCACCATCGTGCGCTCGCCATGGGCAGCCAAAGAGACGACACACTGCAGCCTCGGTGGTGTTTTTCCACAGGGAGAGAGCGAGAGAGCCAGTGGGAGGGAAAATCTCATTCAATCCAACCCAGGACAAGCCAGGCCTGTATAGCTACCATTCCTGAGTAAAGAAGGCCTCCTTTCTTCCCTCTGTCTCCTCCCACAGCCTCTACCTATAAACGCAGACTACACAAAAGAAGCTCGCGGGCTCGATCAAGGACCAATGGAAAGATGACGGCATGATCAACCCTTTCAAGAGAGCAATCGGGGAGCAGAGACAGACAGACAAAGACAGAGAATTTATGGAACAGTTATATTAACAAAATTGATATATTTTTCATTGTTGTTGCTTTTAAGGGGGGAAGTCTCATTATATAAGGAACAATGTGTACATATAAAGAAAAAGAACAAAAAAAAAAAGAAGGGAGAGAGAGGAGGGGGAAACCCTTTGCAAAATAGGAAGCGAACACAATTCCAGCATTTTTTTTAAAAAAAAATAATGATTGTTAGAGCCAACTATCTTTGTGCCTTCATGGGGAAAGGGAAAGGGAGGGTTACAGAGGGTTAAGTTAAATAAATAGATTATTTGGAGGAGGAGGAGGAGGAGGAGGAGGAGGAGGAGGAGGACGATAGGGGGAAATCCTGATTTTTATCTTACAAGAAGCATAATTTTTAAACTGCAGAGTGGACAAGTACTTTTCAAAAGCCCCCTTTCCACGGATTGCAGCAAAAATCATGGGATTGTTTGGGAACTACAGAGAGAAGCAGAAGCGGGTAAAAGTATTGTTAAGGAGGGGAGGAAAGTCCGGGAAGCTCTTTTTCAGTTCTCCCGAATATACATCACCATCGTTGCAAATGGTGATTGCTTGTTTTGGATATGTTCATTCTTTTAAATAAATGCAAAATGTCAAATCAACGTGTGGAAGTTGAAATTAGCCAGAGCATCAGAGCCGCTCAAATGCAGGTAAGAAGTGGAGGAGGGGGCAGAACAAAACTCCACACCTTACTGCCTTTTTTCAGTTCCAGACCTTCATCCTAGCTGAATCTGATGCTGCATCTCTTCTGACTTGTTCCTCTCCTCCCGCTCCCCATTTTGATTCTGCGGGAACAGGCTGGAAGCAGGCTGGGGCGCATGGCAACACAACTTCATATGCCTATGTTTCTTCTTGCTGCAGTTTTCGTCCCTAGGACACCTAGCAGGCGGAACCAGCTCCCCATCCTGAGATGGCATATTCTCTCTCACAGGGAATGGTGCAGGGCACTTGAGATTCCCTACACCTATTTATATTTTTTAAAATATATATGTGTGTGTGTTATATTAATTGAAAGCAGAGAGGAAACCGAGAGGAGTCGTTTTTACAGTAACTTAAATGGACTTGCCAATGCCTTGGAAATGCTGGTAGTTATTCAGCTTTGGGTATGTGCTCTGTATCCAATGAGGAAGGGGGGCGGGGCTGTGGGAAGAGTACAAAACCTCTTGTACAAAACCAGGAAGAGCTTTTTTTATTTTGCAAAAGAAAAAAAGAAAAAGCCACCCAGGAAAAGAGCCCCAGAATTTTATTTTATCTTTTCTTTTAAAGTCCTGTGCACAAAAAAAAAGCAGCTCTGGAATGAAAAAAGAGCCAAGCCTATTGCTGTCAGTGCTATGGTGAATCCTTGTACAATAAAAATTGTTGTAATTTAACCTGGCTGAGGTGCTATTTGCATGCACTGGGGGAGGAGGGAGATGCACCTGGATGCATGAATGTATTTGATTACATGGACCGCTTGTGGGTGAGTGGTGCGGTGGCCTAGAGGTGGAGCTCTTGCCTCACAATCAGGAGGCTATGAGTTCAATCCTAGGTAGAGGCAGATATTTCATTCTCTGGGCACAATGAACTAAACTCCACACTGGCAACAGGAAGGGCAGCCGGCCAGTAAAAACTCTGCTAGCTCCATTCAGTTGCCCAGACTCCACCCCGCAAGGGATTATGGGGTTATTAAAAGATGATGGTGCACCGCTTGTGGGTATTGTAGGGCAGATCAAATGCCCTGCTTGGTCACATCTAAATGAGACCCCTTAGCTTAGAAGATTCATGTGGAGGTGTGGAGATGACAAGGCCCTTCAAAAGATGCACCTAAAATCAATCGTAATGAGTTGACATTTCTCACTGAAGCCGCTTCCTGTCTTGTACATCCTTTTATAAGTGGGGAGGGGTTTGTAAACATTTAAAAATGCTCATCCATTTGTGTTTGCTTACCTTCCACAGCATAGTGGTAGAAAACTCAGATTTTATAATCCTGAAATTGTAAACAGTCCCAATATCCGAGTGAAACCAGGGGAGTAAATTTAAAGCATGTGGGTGGGGAGAAGGTAACCGAGCGTTTATGACCAAAGTGTAATTAGGAGTCCTTGGTAGTATCTGAGCTTGGTGCTTTTCTTGGTGCATTTCATTACCCAAACTAGGTAACATCATTGGTGCTAGTGGTAGCATCTGATAACATCATCAGGACTAGCACTGATGATGTTGCCTAATTTGGCTAATGAAAACATCCGCAAGAAAACCACCTAGTTCAGAAACCACCAAGGACCCCCTCATTCCATCCTTGAGCTACAAATATTCTCCTTTATTGGTATAAAGCTACTGGGAAAGTAAGCAGGAAAGAGATGAAGATACAATTCTCCAATAGACCCTGTGCTGTCCTACACACAGCAAGGGGGTCAACACCCTTAAACATGGTAATGTCTCCTGCAGTCTGAGGCTGGCTTCAATGGTAAGAAGAGTAAAGCAACCTCTGCAAACGATTTAAATAAAGAGGGTGGTTTAATTTGATTTCAATATTTAGGCAGAGAGTTTCGATCTGGGCTGTAAACAGCAGAGACCTTTCATTAGTTATGATGAATGCAGCTCATTCAAAGTTCCTTCCATCAGCCTTCCAGTTTTTTCCTTTGGCTCCTCCACCTCTCCCCATATTTCCTTTCCACCCCCCTGCCCAATGCATCTCACTTTTCAACACTTTCTTTCCATTCTGCTCCAAAATGCTCAGGATTCATCATGGTTATCCCACTACCCACCTCAGTGCTATTTCTATTTCTGTTCTGGTAGAATCGAATAGGAAAAAAAAGAACTTCTGGAGAAAATTAGGATTGGTTGACGGACAGCTTCAGTAATCAGGATGGCTTATATCCAATTGATATCCAAGTTACTTCTTTGTGGGGATGTCTTCCAAGTTTTATTAGCAGACATCCCAGAGACCCCATCTTTAGACCCCACAAGACAGTGTTCAACTCACATTTGACAATACAAAAGATACGGAAGCAATTGTTCTCCAAAATAATGGTTTGGTTGAATGTCCCAACAGAGTTTTGCTTGTTTGGCATACAAAAACTGACAAAATAACATGGCTTGGTGAGCTGTGTTAATCCAGGTCCGCCCTTACATCAGGATGAATATCAATTGTCAATAATTCTTTGTTTTCTCCTCAAATTGGCCTACCTCTAAACTAGAGGAGGTTTATGTGTAGGGTTTTACAAAGATGAAAATCTGGATTCATACATTACTCCAAGTCATCGTTTTAACTACAGTTCACTAAATGGTTGAGTTTGCACAACAATCTATGCCCCAAACCAAACAATATACAAGATAGCAGAGACTATTGTGTAAGCCCAGCCATTCCACTTTCTCGTCACCTTATAAAAAAGAAGAGGATATAAATTGGTGACCTCACAGGCACTGCTCAATATGGATCTAGGTCCAATCCATCATTAATCAGGAGGAATTGCATTTCCCCCAGTTCATATTGACAGTCTGAAGAACAGGAGAAAAGATACTGAGAAATAGCCCCTTCTGCATCCATTTTTGCCCTGAGATTCTTGTTGATCACTTATCATACAGCATCCTGAGCCATTAAAATAGCCACTTCGATTTGAAAGTTGTAAATATTGGACCCCTTAAGATGAGATCATATGCTACTAAGAGTTGGGAATGTCACACTGGGGCAGGAATTCCTTTCTCAAGAGAGTCATTATAACAGCTGCCTAACCATACTTCAGATGGCTTCCTAATCTCACTGGCAGATGTTGGCAGGAGCAAAAGACATCATAAAATTGCAAAAGACATCATAATCAGATGAGCATCTTCTCACATGTGCATGCCCCATCCCTAAGCTCAGGTTTTCCGAACACATGATTAAATGGGCAACGAAGCCGGAAGCTCTTCCAACCAACACCAAGGCAACTCAATTTCCACATCACAGCTTGTACAGCATTTTTCTGTTTCATGACAAAAGTGGTTTTTTTTAAAAAAAAAAAAAAGAAACCAGAAACTTGAAAATATACAGTTAAAACAGACCCCCTCCCCCCAAGAGACTGGCCCTTTAAATAATAAACTCTAGGTGGTGATAAAAAGGACACCGTCCACCGATGAAGGGAGCTTTTCCTTAGCTCATCTTGTAACAGTAGACTCCAAATTTCCCAGTTTGGGGAAAGCCAAAACTTCGGACTCCTGTTTCTGGTGGGCCACAGTTGGGCCGGGGAGAAGTGATGGGGTAGCGCACGCTGCCATCCGCCAACCAGCCAGAATCACAGCGGTCCAGGTCCAAGAACTTCCATGCTGAGTAGAGCTGACCCACCTTGGCAATTTCAGCTTGGTCATCTTGGCAGGCTTGCTTGGCTTCTTCTAAGGTGAACTTCTTCTTGTGATCAAGATAGTAGACAGTCCCTGTTCGGGAGGGCAAAGAATATTTTACTGACATTCATGTATTTTTTTACATACATAACATGCATGCATACACACACACATACACACACACATATATATGTAGGTCTAGGTGTGTTCGGGTCTTTTCCCGTGTAAGATTAAGAGTATCTTGGCGACGTTCCGGCAAGGTCCCACTCGCCATCCTCAGGCTGGTGCTTTCGACTTCGTGCCATGCAAGCAGTGTGTGATCGGAGCTGCCATCTCTCTATAAATACTGGTTATTTATAGAGAGATGGCAGCTCCCCAGTATTTATAGAGAGACGGCAGCTCCGATCACACACTGCTTGCATGGCACAAAGCTGAAAGCACCAGCCTGAGGATGGCAAGTGGGACCTCGCCGAAACGTCGCCAAGATACTCTTAATCTTACACGGGAAAAGACCCGAACACACCTAGACCTACATACCTGTACCCGTGAAAATCTATGAAAACATATACATATACATATACATATACATATACATATACATATACATA